TGATGACTATAACATGGAAGAATGTTTACAAAATTGTGTGTTCACTGATGTAAATTATGTAAAATATACATAAATACAAATAAAGAGAACAGCAAAATGAAAAAAGCTCTTATGTTAAGGATGATGATAGGGATGAAGACAAATCTCTTAAAAATATTTTTCCTTTTAAAGTATTACCTTATACATACTGTTTAATATTTTTTATTGATAAAGTTCAAGAGAAAAATACTAGTTACCTGAAACACTAAAATGGGAAAAATGAAAAAATATCAACTTGTTACCTTCTGGTTATGGTTAAAACAGATTAAATAGGATGCATATAAGTAAATAAATATTAATATTTTACTGTTTCTGTAAAAGGTTCTAAAATATTGGGGCACCTGGGTGGCTCAGTCCGTTAAGCATCTAACTCTTGATTTCGGCTCAGGTCATGATCTCAGGGTCCTGAGACTGTTGGGCTCCACAATTAGCTCAAAGTCTGCTTAAGATTCTTTCTAACTCTGCGCCCCACCCACAGGCATGCTCTCTCTAAATAAATTTTTTTTAAAGTTTCCAAAATATTAAAGCATAAAATTCCTGTGAAACATGTTCTGCTCTATAGCTAACATTCATTTCATATTCAGTGTGCTCAAGATTTTTAAATAAACCAGATTATTGCTGGAAACAGATTTGTAAACAATCTACTCACTGAAGCAGTGAGTAGACAGGTATAGACCTGCCAATATTATTACTCTTTCAACAAATTTATAGAGCACCTACTATACCAAGGCACTCTTACGCCTCTGTATGCTAAATAGTAGAACCCAGATCCTACTGAACAGGATGTCTATATTCTAGAACCAGAATCCTAAGAGTTATTAGTGTATTGAGTATTCCCTCACAGTTTCAGTTGTTGAAATTGTGTGACACTTCAGATACTGGCATGAACATGGAGATAAAATGCTCAGTGTACGTATGTATAAACTACCTCTGAAATAAGAGATCACTTGTTGGTCTAAAGAAGAAAGACATTTAACATCCCTTACATGGCATTATTAAAGACTTCACTAGCTACAAATGGTATAAAATTGACCTAATGCTTAATAAAATCTACTGAGTCTTCTAGCATCTTTCTACTTATGTAGCATTAGAGCTGCTCTCCCTCAAATTGTTTTCACATGGTTTTAATCCTCAGGTTCTTCGTACTTCAGAGAAAGTTCACACATATATATGTGATATAATATGTACATATTATATACATAGTACATCTGCATTATACATATGTAATATAATAATATAACATAATATACATTATGTAATATAATGTACATAATATGTAATATACATATGAACTTTTTCTGATGCAACAGCCAAAAGCAAGTGATCTTGGGAGTACTTAGCCAACAACAGCCTGCAGCTTGGCTATTTCTGCTGCTAAATAATACACAAAAAGTACTTCAAAATTCTGACATTTAGTGTTTTTAAAAATACAGCTAAAACAAAATTTTCATGACAGCTGAGAAGAGTTATAAGATACAAAAGCAAAGCAACAGATAATCATGCAATCAATGCAACTGACTTTGAAATCAAGTTTAGTATAGGGATGTGGAATACTTCTTTTGTCTATGTTTCAGTCTAATACTAAAATTAAACCAAAAAGTCTTCTACAAAGGTAAAGTGCTCCAAACTGATCAATGTAATAATGAGGCCAGTTTCTGAAATTTTGGCCACATGTAACCCAAACAATGGAAAATCTATGTATGGCTTATCAACAGTTTGACCTCATCTGAAAAAACCTGGAAAAAAAATTTCAGACTTCATCTGAAAAAAAGGCAGAAAAATGGGATGAAGGGGGCTTATTAGAGGAAAAACGAAGCTTAGAAACACACACAGAAGACTGGGGTGGAGGCAAGAGCACAAAAGCCCGGTGGGCACAAGGACAGTGCTAGGAGATATATAACACAACCCAAGAGGACACCATACACATCACAGTCTATGTAAGATAACCTCCATGACTGTACAGCACAAAATCTGTCCAACTCTAGGTGGCAGCCCTGGGCAAAAGGGTATTCATGACTCTTCAATGAAGCAGACAAGAGCACTGTTGGCTGCCTCTGCACAGCAACAACAAAGACAAACAGTAATTTTCTTATTCTGATGTGATTAAACAGGCTGGCCTCAAAATGCTTTCTTGCATATATTCAAGGTCTTCCAGTAAATTTAGAGTAACAGACTGATTTATTTTATAAGGTCAGAAGGTTCATTGGGCTCTTTTATCAAAGTATTTTAGCCACAGGTTTTATTTTCTTTCAAAATAGGGTCAATCCTAAAACCTCACAATGTCTACATTAGCACAGGTACTATGTCATAATATGCACTTAATACCAGACTGAGTTTTTCAACTATAAAATCTTCTTCTCAGTCTATACTTGCTATCACATCAATTCAATTTCATGTGAATTGTACTTTTAAGAATTCATTTTTGGGGCATCAGGGTAGCTCAGGTGGTTAAGCATACTACTCTTGATCTCAGCTCAGGTCTTGATCTCAGGGTCCTGACTTCAAGCCTGGTACTGGGCTCCATGCTGGGAATGGAGCCTACTTAATAAAAAAAAAAGAAAAAGAAAATCCAGACCGAAGTATCTCTAGCATGAGGACACTGAAATGAGTGTGGGGTGCTAAGGCTGATCTATTTATTCTAAAGCTGCCTTCGCTCCGAAATGGATATGGTTCTTAAGGATCTGTCAACTCTGACCTAAGCCTAGGTTGGCTCTTAAAAGCTTTTCTCAAATTACAGTACGTTCTGGTACCTATCTTCATCTAGCCTTGATGGGGAGAAGAGAATCTAGAATTATTTTGATAATATAAGCCCAGGAAGCAAAAAGTACGGAGAGAACAAGAGTCAGGAAGTGTGACAAACATTAGGATGGATCCATTTTCTATGCCCACACTTCTGTGATCAAAGACTACCGTTTTACCAAAGGAGACCTCTACCTTCTCTTATAGTATCCTGAATAGTACCACTGTTAAGAAGCAGTTTAGCACAGTGATAAAGGACATAAATTTATATTACCTGGATTTAAATCCTAGCTCTGCTATTTATAAGCTCTGAAATCTTGAGCAAGGTTAACATCTCAGCCTCAGTTTTCCTTATCTGTAAAATGATGAAAGTATATACCTCACATTTTTGTTTTAAGAATGAGTTGAAATGTATGGTACTTTCAATGGTACCTCATAATGTTAGCTATTATCTCCTCTACCTTTTGGCTCTAATTCAGGCCACAAAAAGAAGTTTTGATAAAATCATCTGGTCTAGCCGCTTCATTTTACAAACAAATGGAGACCAAATAATGGCTTACTCAAAATCACAGAAGTAGTCACTGACAGAGCCAAGACTAGGCTAGTTGTTTTCCATCACACCACGACAGGTATGCTCACCTCTGAGACCTAAGATTTTGAGACTTTTTCCTGATACCCACCTAACTTGTTTGCATCTAAAACTGATTTTCATGTCATCCACTTACTAGTGAATAAGACTACTAAAATAATGTCACTGTTGATTAATATACTAAATGCTTTATATATATTATTAGTTCATCAAATCAACAGAAGGGCATTGTAATTTATATTTGTGGGTGCTGTACCTCAGAAAGGTTACGTATCTGCCTTAGACTTCACAGCCAACATTTGTACCAAGATGCTGAAAGCAGGTCTAACTATGAAGTCCCTGTTTTTTCCATTGTATAATGGAAATACAGCCCTAATCTATGTTTGCCAAATATTTTTGCAATCTTCGATGTTAAATTCCTTTGACATTTTACTAAGCAACTAAAGATAAATTTTACTCCATTCAGGGCGCATCCACTTTCAACTAGGTCTGTCTGTTCAGGCCTGTTCAAGTTTTGCATTGTTCTGGCTAGGTAAATCCAGTTTCAGATCCCACAAGATTAAGGAATTGACTGGCCAAAGGAGGACAGGAACGGAAGATGTATCCCCAGAGAATGGCTAGCTATAGTGAATTTAATCGAGGAGTACAGCCACGGAATACAGGAATATGCATAGCTTCGGATCATCAGTTACAGACAGCGCCGGGGACATAGCACAGCAGGTCCTTAACATTGTTACGTCATAGTAGTGGAATCGATACATTGTATAACAAAAGTCCTGCCTTTCCAAAGGCATCCTCTCTCCTTTTCAATCCTAACTCCCCGAAACTTGCTCGGCAGGATCCTTGTGGGAAGCCCAAGTAGAAACTAACCGGGAGCTCCTTTCGGCGCCAGGAAAGCTGTCGCCAGCCCTTATTTTACCGCTCGCTCGCCACCCTCCCCGCCTCGGCGTCCTCCCACCCCCCACCTCCCACCTCCCGGGCTCTCGGCAGAGCAGCCACAGACTAGTCCCGGCGTGCCAGGCCCATCCTGCCCAAGCGTCCCTCTGCAGTCCCAGTTCAGGGCGGGAGGCTGGACAGCGGCCTTGGACTCAGAAGAGGCGCGAGAAGGCGACGGGGGGGTCCGCCTAACGGACGCGAGCAGCGGACCCCTCCCCAAAGGAACCTAATAATAAGATGAGAAGACGGTTACGCAGGGCTTCTGCAGGGAGTCAGGCCTGAAGCGCCCACCAAATGCCCAGGCCCGAAGCCGCTCTTCCTGGGCGCCTGGGGCGCCGGGCCGCGTCCAGCCCTCCCGCCTCCCACCCCCGCCCCCCCAGGCGCTGTACCGGAGTCGCTACTCCAGTCGCGCGGGGCCAGGCCCTCCGCGGTCCTTGACTGCCCTCACCTGCGGTTGAAGGAGCCAGGAGTGGGAGGGAGCGGGAAGACGCCTCAGGCCCCAACACTTGGACCAACCGGTACCGACAGCTCCGCCCTCTGCGCCCACAGAGCGTGCGCCGTGTCGGGATTCCCGCCCTGTCCCTCCCCGTCCCGCGCCGTGGCCCACCAATCCCCACTCAAGAAGACACGCCTGCGCATTAGCTGTACGACGCCCCAATCGTCCTTTGTCAAAGCCCCAAGATCCACCTTTTGCCATAACAAAAGGACGTTGGCATCCAATCAGGATTGAGGCTGTTGTGGGCGGGTCCGGTAAAAGCAACAGCCAATGACAGAACAGGAGCGAAGTTAAGCGTGAGAAAGCCAGCCCAAAGAAAGCAGCTCTTCAGTCTCAGCAGGAGCCAGAGAATTTGCGGTCAGAAAGCCAGTATGGAAAATTTTGACAGCTGTCAGGAAGGAGGTTGGTAAAACCAAATGCTGGGGAAGAGGGAAATCATTCAAGTTTAAGAAAAGGGCATTTGTGGACATAATAGGTAAAGCCAGTGCAATACCGAGGTACCTCAATTCTAAAAGGAGACTTTTCCAACTTTTCTAACTTCCCAAATCGGAAAGTTCCTAAGTACACCCCTAGTGGATTGTTCCTCTCCACATCCTTTCCAAACGATTATTAAATCCGTAGTGCACTTGACCATTTAAGGATATTTTAGCATTGAGAAAATACCTTAACAGTACTTTGGTATATAGAGCGTTTGCTCACCTTATCTCATTTTGAATCTCACAGCAACTCACAGAAAACAAATGAAGCTTAAGAGTAAATGCCTTGCTCGAGGTCATACATGCAGTGTGAAATGCTGCGGCCAGGCTTTGGGATGTAATGCAATCTGGCTTGATAGCGTTCATTGATATCTAGCACTTGACACAAAGCGGCTTGGGTTTAGTATTTGTAGAGTACAAGGTAGTAATACTATATTGTTTTGGCTTTGGCACATTCTCCTGAGTTGTAGAGGAGAGCCTGTGTCTGCCTGTTTCTTGACTTTTTTCACTTCTGGTTCAGTTTGCTGACCTACTGCCTTAATCCTTTTAAGGAATATGTAAAAAATCTTCCACTTAAGTATTGAGAACTATACGTTTGGCTGGAACCATGATACATAATTTGAGAAAATTACTAGAATGCAACACAGGACCTAAATAAATGGAAAATAAGAAAGGTCCAGGGTCTATCCAGTAAGAATGTCAGAAAGAGAAACTAGAGAGAATGGCTGTGAGCCGTATTCAAAGAATAATAACTAAGAATTGTTCAGGATTGTGGAATATTTGAATGCTCAGATTCAAGAAGCACTTACTCTTGAGCAGGTGTAAAATAAAGAATTCCGTATGTGGTGGCGCCTGGGTGACTCAGTGGGTTAAGCCTCTGCCTTCCGCTCAGGTCATGATCTTGGGGTCCTGGGATCCAGCCAGGCATTGGTCTCTCTGGTTGGTGGGGAGCCTGCTTCCCCCTCTCTCTCTCTGCCTGCCTCTCTGCCTGCTTGTGACATTTGTCTGTCGAATAAATAAATAAAATCTTAAAAAGAAAAAGAATTCCATATGTGGACACATCCTGATGAAACTGCAGAACACCAAAGACTAAGAACTATTAAAAGCAACTTTTTTGTTGTTGTTAGAGTGGCTTTTTTTTTTTTTTAGTTTTAAATAGAATAAAATATACGTAACACAAAAAAATTATCATCTTAACTATCTTAAAGTGTACAGTTCGGTAGTATTGAGTATATTCACATTGTCATGCAACCAATCTCCATAATACTTTTCATCTCGCAAACCTGAAACTCTATACCCATTAAAAAACAACTCTCCCCTTAGCACCTGGCAACTGCCATACTTTTTGTCTCTACAAAACATGACGACTTTAGGACCTCATGAAGGTGGTATCTCTTACAATATTTATCTCTTTGTGACTGACTTATTTCACTTAGCATGACATCCTGAAGCCTCATCCATATTGTAGTATGTGTCAGAATTTCCTTCCTTCCTTTTTAAGGCTGAATAACATTCCCTTGTATGTATATGCCACATTTTATTTATTCATTCATCTGGTGATGGACACTTGGGTTGCTTCCAACTTTTAGCTATTGTGAATGCTACTATGAATGTGATGTGTGCAAGTATCTCTTTGAGACCCTGTCTTCAATTCTGTTCAATGTATATCCAGAAGTGGAATTGCTGGATCATATGGTAATTCTATTTTTTTTTAAGATTTTTTTTTATTTAGTTGACAGAGAGAGAAATCACAAGTAGGCCAAGAGGCAGGCAGAGAGAGAGGAGAAGCAGGTTCCCCGCTGAGCAGAGAGCCCAATGTGGAGCTCAATCCCAGGACTCTGAGATCATGACCTGAGTCACCCAGGTACCCTGGTAATTCTATTTTAAAAACAACTTTTTCTCTCTCTCTCTCTCTGCCTGTCTCTCTGCCTACTTGTGATCTCTGTCAAATAAATAAATAAATAAATAAAATCTTTAAAAAAAACAACTTTTTAAAATGCGGTAATGACACAAGAATAGACAAAAAGAAAATTAGAGGGTAACTGTACCTGGAAGTTGGAATACACTAAATGTGTCTGATAAGAAAGTGTTGAGCAGGTTGTGGAAAGGAACTACTCATGACTGCTGAAAGTACAAATGGTACAATTACTTTGTTGTTGCTGTGGGTTTTTGTTTGTTTTTGAGAAAAAGAGAGAGAGAGGAAGGGCAGACAGAGAGTGAGAGAGAGACTCCCAAGCAGGCTCTACATCCTGTACCAAACCCAGTGTGGGGGCGCTTGATTCCAGGACCCAGAGATCATGACCTGAGTCGAAATCAAGAGTCAGACACTTAGCCAACTGAGCCACCCAGGCACCCTGGTATAATAACTTTGTTAATTGGCTATGGAAAAGACAACTGATGGTGGTTTTAGTTAGATTGGCTATTCACATAAAAAATGAAATTAGATTCTGACCTCCACCGCAAGTAAAACTGAATTCCAAATGAAGTAAATGTTCCCTCTCTCACTATCTCTTGCTGTCTACCTGTCATAAATAAATAAAATCTTAAAAAAAAAACGACTTGAATGAGCAATCATTAAAAATCCTGAAACAGAAGTTATTGAGAGTATAAGCAATATAATAGAAGCTACAAATAAGAACCAAATGGAAACTTTATAACTGAAAAAGAAAATAGCTGAAATATAAAACTGCCAAAAATCAGCAGTAGAATGAAGTTGAAAGAGGAAAGAGTTGGTGAACTTGAGGAAATCTCAGTAGAAATTATTCAGTCTTAACTACAGGGAGAAGAGTTGGCAAAAACCAACCAACCAACCTCGGGAATAGAAGACAACAAAAGAGATGTCGTTTTGTGTCATCAGAGTCCCGGAAGGAAAGGAAGGAGAGTATAGATGGTTCTGAAAAACACTTGAAGAAATAATGGCTTTCCAATCTTCACAAAAGACAGTTTCATAAGAGAAGGGTATGATGAGGAAAATAATGTCTCAAAGCCTCTGAGGATGGGGTATAATGAAAAAAAACTGTTGAGAAACACTAATCTAGAGCACTAACATCACAAAGAGAACCCATTAGATAACATTTATTTCCTGATAGAAGAAGAATGTACCACCATCTATGAAAGAGTCCTACAAAAAAAAAAAAAAAAGGAAAACAAAGTGGAACCTGACCTGATCAAGCCCATAAAGTAGCAATTTAACAGGAAATACAGAAATATATTAAATCTACCACCTGGACAAAATTAGCAAAATGTGGCTATGGACAAAAAACAACAAGACAAAAACAAAAAACAAAGCCTCTTTCTTCAACAAAAAGAAAATAAATTGCACTGGGGGAAAAAAGGAATGGAAAGAACTCTACAGATAAAAGGGCACTTACAACACATATTTTTAAAAACAGACCAAAACACTGTGATTTATTTTGGATGCTAACACCATTTAGGAGACGCATGAAAGTGATTGCCATCAAGTAGAATATGATTAGAGTATTCACCTTTTTTAAAATTCTGGAACCAAACATATATCACATAAGATAATTAGACTTTAAAGGAGGTCTTTAGACAAATTATCTCAAAAAATGTTATGTACCAAAGATAAAGTTAGAGAGCAATATATCAATCACAAAATGTTGCAAATTTGATAAAACAGTGTTGCTGATAATTAAGATCTGCCCTTAAAGATAGAAAAACCTTGAAATAACAAAATGAGACCAAAAAGAACAGTACTCCCAAGTGGATATAAAAAAGGAGTTGAAATTTTAGCAAACTGGTCATGAAGTGAACATTCATTAGGCTATACAGTTATTTTTATACAGTGCTCCATATTTGCATTCTATTTTTCAATTAAAAGTGGTTTAAAAATAACCACAAAAGTTCCCTTCTTCTAAGTAAGGCAAACATATACATACAAATAGAAACTACTGAAATTGCACAGATATATTTGCTTGTAAGAAGAACACTTGTTATCTGGGATATGTGTATATTAATATTATAAAACATCTAAGTAAAGACATACAATTAAAATACTCTTCATAGAGAATGGGGAACTCCAAATTGAAAACTATTGTTACAAAGCAATGTATCATGTGAGGAAGAAATGATAAATAGTAGAGAACTTCCAAGATCATTTTGATGTTCCAGACTGACATAGTCTCATCATGAACATGAAACCTAACTTGTCTTAATTAGAGAGTTCTAAACATACTGGGGATATTTTAAAGTGAAATATGCTAAATGGAGGCATTTTGATAACTTTCAAGTGTAACCAGGTGTGTTCCCTGGTACTTTACGCTCATTAATTTGCAAAAAGTGTTTCATCTCATTCCTAAATAAGAACTCACATTTTCCTTTTTACTTATTTTTTTCCCTTGAAAGGTTATTGAATTCATTGGAGAATGAGTGCTGTCCTAAATTTGGTGAGTCAAGAATATACTGTACTTGTTGAAAATTGATTTCAAAACTAGACTTAATAGGATATCATACTGGGGTGCCTGGATGGCTCAGTCGGTTAATCATCTGACTCTTGATTTTGACTCAGGTCATGATCTCGGGGTTGTGGGACTGAACCCACAGTTGGGCTCTGTGTTCAGCGCAGAATCTGCTAGTCTCTCTCTCTCTTTCTCTTTCTCAAATAAAAAAATAAAATCTTAAAAAAATATATACCATACTCTGCTATTCGGTAAATTAAGCTGTATACTTTTCTCAAGATTGTAATTTCTTGATAATAACCAATAATTGGCTAATTTGATGAGAGTTGTTTTCATTCATTGGTTTAATAGAGAAAAAGTAAGAAATTACCAGTGTATTTTTAGAGTTTCTCTAATGAGAATTCAGAAGGACTTCAGGGTCTTCATGGAATCAAGCTTTGAACTTTATGGCAAAAATGAAAGTAATTGGGAATGATTATACAGTCTTGATGCTTATTTTTCTTTACACAAAGTAATGGTTTTGCTTATTGGTTTGTTTTAAAGATTTTATTTATTTATTTGACAGAGAGATAGAGAGCACAAACAGGCAGAGCTGCAGGCAGAGGGAGAGGGAAAAGGAGACTCTCCGCCAAGCAGGGGGCCTGATGCTGGGCTCTGAGATCCCAGCACCCTGGGATCAGAACCCAAGCCCAAGTCAGACACTTAATGTACTGAACCACCCAGGCCCCCCTACACAAAGTGATGTTTAGTCAGTTTCCCAAAGATTGGCGCTCATCTCTCTGGCTGTACAAGATTAGCTTTTAAAATTCGTTTTTGACATTTTATTGTCATTGAAAAATATGAACAATACAACTAACCCTCAGCTTGCTGATGTCATTGCCTAGAACAAAGCCAAGTTCAAAAATAATGTTAATTATAGGGCAACTGGGTGGCTCAGTCGTTAAGCCTCTGACTCTTGATCTCAGCTCAGGCCTTGATCTCAGGGTCGTGTGTTCAAGCCCCATGTTGGGCTCCATGCTGGGCGTGGCACCTACTTAAAGATAATTTTTTTTTTTTTTAAAGATTTTATTTATTTATTTGACAGACAGAGATCACAAGCAGGCAGAGAGGCAGACAGAGAGAAGAGGGAAGAAGGTTCCCCGGTGAGCAGAGAGCCCGATGTGGGGCTCGATCCCAGGACCCTGGGATCATGACCTGAGCTGAAGGCAGAGGTCTTAACCCACTGAGCCACCCAGGCGCCCCTAAAGATAATTTTTTTAAAAGATGTTAATTAAATGGTTAATTTAATGTGGCAAAAAGTGTGATGTTGGTCGTAAATGACTGGCTTGGAGATCCTGATGTATCAGCATCCCAACAAGCCTTGGTTTGAAGAAGAAGAAACCTGAGTTCCAGCTCTGGCTCAACCTGTATTCGTCCATTCAATTCTTCATATAGTTACTAGTTGAAAAATTTATTTCAGTATTCATTTTGAGCTAGATACTGTAGAATATCCAAATATTTGAAATTGGCCATAAGTCTGTGGGGGATGATGCACTTTACTATAGACTCCTGTTTCCTCAAATGAGGGACTGTAATGAAGTTCATCCTGCTTCTCTAATATTACATAAAATACCACTGAATTTATGGAATAACACTGCCAGTGAATGATAACGGATGGTTCCCATATTTAAGAGTCAGCCTGTGATGGTCTGGTTGTGTCTGACCATCGAGCCCTTGGTAACACACCTATTAGGTTCTGAAAGCTTTCTTGAGTGATTTATTTTGGGGCCACTCCATTCCAGCTTTTATGACTTGGAGTTTCTGTGATTCTTTGTACAGAAATCTACCAGTATCAGTCATTTTGGCTGGGTGCGTGTTCCATTTAATCTTTATAAAACACTCTCCCTTAAAATCAACACTAATCACTGGGCTCCGGGAGCATAAAGGAGATTTGGTTTTAATATGACAAAGTGATTCTTGGAAGGGCACGGGAGTCAGGGTAATAGTGAAACTGATGTTTTGTATGAGAATGCATGTGAGTTGCTAGCAACGCTCTGCAAGGCGAGAGCTGGTGGGCTCTCAGACTTCTAGTATACAGGCCTAGTTATCAGAGCCTTCTGCTCCTCTAGGAACTGTTTGCACTAAAAATAACCAACCTGGGAGAGCTCCTCTGTCAGACCCTGGGGCTTTATATTACTTTCTTTTTTTTTTTTTAATTTTATTTATTTATTTAACAGAGAGAGGGAGGGAGAGAGATGGCACACAGGGATGGGGAGCAGCAGGCAGAGGGTGAGGGAGAAGCAGGCTCCCTGCGCCCAATGTGATGTAGGGCTCCATCCCAGGATCTCGGGATCATGATCTGGGCCTAAGGCAAGACACTGAACCTACCAAGCCACCCAGGTGCCCCTGGGATTTTACATTGCTTATAAGCTAACAAGTTAGCCTGTTTCACACTCAGGAATGCTGGAAGGAGACATGAGGTGCCTGCTCTGAATCCAAGGACTCTCTTACATGTAGCTCACCGGCAGCATGAGCTTCATCCTGGTTTGCTTCTGTTCTCCATGCCCCCCAAGCCCCACAGTAGAGAGGCCGGGGGTCCAGCTCAGGGCCTGCACACACAGTGGGTTATGGTGTAGGGAGGAGCACTGTGCTCAGGGAATCTATTGCTTTTACAGGTAGTGGAAGCAAGGAGAGGCATTACCTCAACCCTTAAAGTTGCTCTTGGCAGACAAACCCCAAGGAATGGTCTGGGTGAAGAAAGACCTTGTGCTCTTGGCCTACCTACCCCAAGGGTGTCCTGACGCTCAGGGCTCGTTACGGACTACCTCTCCCCCTATACCTCTAACTCGAATAATCTTTAGTTCTGTGACGAATTCCCATTTTCCTTCCTCCAGCCTAACCCAGTTATTTCAGGGAAATACTACAAGATGTCTGTCTCATAAAGTGATGGTGGGAGGCCTAGAAGGCAAAGTGGAAGAGAAGCACACGAGTCTGCATGAAAGAAGCCTCAGTAGGAGAGTCAATGGCACAGTAACAAGTGTGTTTTAAAAATAAGTCGTATTTTATAGCTGTTTTGGAGTCCTACCCTTTCTTTTTCACTGTTTCACCACACTTTGCAACAGTTGGAAGGAAGGACAGACCTCTTGGGAGTTTGTTTTAAAATAATGGTTGAAATGAATAACTTTCCGGATAGTGATACTCATCACAGCAAAAGCACATGAAAGCGCCCTCAGTTTGAAGCAGAGAGTATGTCCAGGCTCCCTTTCTTCTTTTCTAGTGAAGGCGGAAGACAAGAGAAAGCCTGGCTACTCAGGGATGAGTAGTGGCCTCTGTGTCTGGTCTACAGTCTGATGACAATTCATTTAAATCAGTTCAAGTCCCCTTAAAACTGTAGCAGGTCCTCAAGTTGTGGGAAGCACCCAGAATGCCTTATTCCTCATCCTTAATGAGAGAATTGTGGGTTTTTAGTTTCTTTATGTAGGACAGGCAGCAAATTATAAGAAAATATAATGTAGTTTTCACTTTGGGAGAAAATTGATACGGCCATCTGGAGTTCATCCTTCTTTCAGAAGTTTCTTCAGAGGCTATCTCTCTGATCTTTAAGTGTCAGGGCATTAATTTTACTTAGAGCATTGTTCTTCCCTTCCAAAGAGTTTTCTGTTGAAATAAATTTTAGTATTTTTGTCTAACAAGCATCTCTGGCCACAGCCCAACTCAGTATTTTAACATTTCTTGCAAGGATCTCTATGGCTTTGGATTGAATGTAAAAGTGTGTTGTCTCCTCTTAGCATTACCTCATAAAAGCCACTGGCCCTTTTTGTGCTGCAAGGGGCCATCTACAGGAGCGGGAAATATAGTGCTTATCCTAAAGGTCTGTTGGGAAGATGAAATAAAAATACTTGAGGGAAATTTGCCTGGCATGGTGGTCTGTAAGAACTAATTGTATCTAAAACCTCCTATACCTGATGCCCTAAATTCCTTGATGGCACCAGTCAATCTGCGTCATTAATGAATCCCCATTACCAAGCTCAGGGCCTACATGTGTGTCCATAAATGCAGGTTGAATGAGTGAATGAATGAATGAATGTTCTGCCACTTTTTCTGTCTTATAAAAAGCAGACATGTCTGTGCTGCATTAGAAGATGATACTGTATTTCCACAATGTCTTTCCATCCAGAGCTCACTTGACTTTCTGTCAAATGACCTCACTGCTCCTTACCCTATCCCAGTGAGAGGGCAGAGAAGCCAAAGAAGTAATTTTCCTTGTGGTTCTAGTCAGGGCTCTTCACGCTTTCAGAACATTAGGCACACATGAAACATCACCTATAAGTGACAACCAGTGTGACCTCATCACAACATATCCCTCTGACAACTGCCAGGAGATACATAGAATAAGCCTAAAGACACCACGAATGCCATTTTGGGGCCATAAAGAAGGAACAGCTTGATTGCATGCATTTGCTTTTGAGATGGTGTACTAGTGACCTCTAGTGGCAAAATGGATTCAAGATGTTTTCTATTTCACAACAAAAAATTTTACTTCATTACATCAATCCTATGTTTTCCCTTTGTTTATTAACATTTTCTACTTGTAGAATAACCTGAATTATGCACAGTGATTTATATATGTAAATATCCAAATATTATTTTCGCATTTCAAAGAATCATAGAACTTTTGAGCTGGAAGAATTCTCAAAGGGATTTATTGGTTTTATTTCATCATGTGCCGAAAATGAGCCCCAGAGAAATAAAGTGACTTGCCTGAAGTCTTACCCCAGGAGTGGGACTAAAAGTCTAATTATTCTAAGGGTCTTTCCGAACTCCGGAAAGCTGCACCCCTAGCTGACGTCTGAGCTCAGCATGAGAGACTCCCAAGTGAGAACAACCCAACTAAGCCCTTCCTGAATCTCTAAGTCACAAAAACAGTAGCAAAATAAAGTGAATGTTGCATTACAACACAAGTTCTTGGATATATTACACAGCAATGATTATCAGAGCAAAGAATTTAT